ACTCTTCTATTGATTTGTAAAATTGGTAATAGTGTGTTGCTACCAGGCATTCTACAAGAATTATTCAATTATTCATTTAAAATTCACACACTCATATAGTGTTGTCCCATCTCAAGTTGATGAACATGAGGTTTATAGAATAACAATGACTGTGATGGCAGGAACTTACCTGGCCCTTTACTGTGTCCAGATGTTACCCAGCCAAACAGTTCTACACACGGTGCTCACTACTGAGAACAGGATTCATCCAGGCATGGAGGCGGAGACACAGTGCCTGTGCTTGAACTGAGGTTGCATGTCTATCAGGAGGCAGAACAAGCTCTCTAGATCCAAAGTGCCAGGATTTTAACCACTCACCAAACTATGGCACTGTGTGAGTGAGCCAGCTCATTGCTGCAAATGTTTCAACTCGTCTCATACCAAGTAAAATATACACATTTGGAAGAGAGTAAAGGAAACGTTGGCTGCACAGAAAGATTTGTATAGGTCAGTGATGGCAAATAAAATTCTTCTCTTTCTTTGTTCCAAAAGTATTGAGCACCAACTATGTTCCAGGTGCCACAAGTATGGACATAAAACCCATTTCTTGTCTATGAGGAACTGGAGATATACACGTAGATAATTGAACTATTTTTAAAAGTAGTTATTAAGTTTTGCTTCCTAAATCAAAGTCAAATTTATTAAAACAACAACAACAAAAACATCCTATTTTATCTGGTCACACAGTCCCAAATAAGTTCATACATAAGGTAAAGCTAGCAAAAGAGTAAGTCAGAATATTCCTTCATAAACAGATAGAGTAAGATGTGTAAAATATCACTATAATGCCTGCAATCTTATTTAAAATTCAATAATGATTATGTGAGAATTAGATCTGATATGTATTCACTGTTTCAGGAAATATTTACAATATGCATGTTCCTCGGATCACAGAGTCGGATCACAGAGTCACCTGAGAGCTATTCCTGCCTGGCAGACTACTGAGTCCTCTCAGTGCAGTCAATAGGAAACACAGCTGTAATATTAATCAGAATTTGTGGTCTCAACTTACAGAATCCTGCGCAATTGAGTTTCAAGGGAAAAGAAACTGCTCTAACTTGGTTCATGTGACTAGAACATCCAACAAACAGATATAACTTACACAAAACTAAATTCAGAAAGTCAAGTGCTGTACAAACCTCCCTTATCTCCTTCCTCTTCCTGCTCCTCTCTCTTGATTTTATCTATCAGCTCTTACCATCCATCTCTACATAACTTCACCTGTGGGTAAACTCTCTATAATAAGTAGGTTTCACATTCACATACATCAGCTTAGTAACTCCACTGAAGACAGAACTGCCCCAAAATACCCAAATAAATTCTTCCATTTTGAAACTATCCTTCCATTTAGCTGGGTTTTCTGTTGACCAGAGGATTCAACCAGGCTGTGGCTTACTTTTCTCTCCCCTAGGGTACCCTTGTAGGAAAGAAAGTGAATGGCCTATGGGGCAGCTAATTTTCTTCATCAGCAGATATTCTAGATATTCTGACTGTGCTGTGTGGATCTAGAATCCCAAACTATGCCTGAGGCTAAGGAAGTGTGAACCACCTGGGGTAGGACATCCTAGAGGAGGCATAGTTTCCATGGAAGCTGACCACACTGCTCCCAGAAAGACAAGAAGCTGGAAAGTCTTTATGGTGTGAATCCCTACAGTTCATCTATTTCCCAGTAGTTTTTCTCTGTAAAAAGTCCCCATCTCCAGTAGAGGGGCATCTAGGTTGCTTCCAGGTTCTGGCTATTACAAACAATGCTGCTATGAACATGGTTGAACATATGTCCTTGTTGTAAGTACATGCCCTATTTGGTTATATACCCAAGAGAGGAATGGCTGGATCTTGAGGTAGACTGATTCCCTTTTTTCGGAGCACCCGCCATACTGATTTCCAG